GCTACACCAAAGCTGCAATATGGAAAAAAGGATCCTCAGAGGCAAAGCAATGGCTGAGGTATCCTATGGCGCTCCCACCTCTATGCGTGCTGCAGGTCTGCCTGAGCACCGTCTTGCGCTAGCCGGGTGCGCCCAGTCACCAGCGCAAGGAACTGCAAGCTACCCCTCCCCAAACACTACAAACAAAACTCGAGCCGAGGTGCTTGGTACATGGAGTCTTGCGATGCGGCTCCAGGATCGTCGGCCTCCGATCCAACCCTCGCGTCTGCAGGCTCTCTTGCACTTGTGTGATTTGCAAAATGCGGCCTGCCCCTGGACTTGGGACCAGGGCTGGTTCCTGTGGTCATCATGTACGGTAGCTCTGTGGTATTCATCAGGGGTGTGCGGCATGAGGACAGGAGCGTGCGGGTTCAGCGTGTGTCCTAATGCGAAAGAAGAGACAATCTCAAGCGCAGGCTCACTCAAAACCGCAGGTCCAATCCCTAACTCGGTTTCAAAGTGCAACGCAGGAACTCTCTGAGGTTGCGACGTGGCAGGCACGAACTCCGGTGCATGCGGGTTCAAGGGCGCTGCAGCACCCGTTGACAGCACGCGGTGAAAATCGTGCTCATGGTTCGTGGTCGGCTCCATCTGCAAAACACTGAAAGATGAGAAGCACGCACCCAAAATCAAGCTGAAAATCAAGCTGAAAATCAGATTGGCAAATGGCAACCGTGCTGAACTCATGGGTCGTGAGGGACGTGGCAGGCAAGTCTGCAGTCCAGCGCCTGCTCAGCTTCAGCAAGCACAGCCGGGTATGCTTTGCCAACGAAAGCAATCAGCTGGAGGCACTCTCCGCGAGGCAATGTCTGCAATGCGTCGAGAAAGAACTTGCTCACTGAAAGAGGTGCCCACAAGTTGGCAGCTAAAGTCCGGGCGTAAATGCTGTCGTTCACAACACAGACCTCGCCAACTAGTTCGCAGGCAAACAGTTTGGTATGCTGCACTGGTGTAAGCAATGACGTGGCTGCAAGATATGGCACTACGCGTGCTCAGGTAGCACGATCAGCCGCTACCCCGCCCCGCTACCCGCCCCTACACCTCGCAAGGGTCGAACGAACTGGGCAACACGGGGAAAACCACACGGAGGAGGGGAAACCCGGGTGCCCTGAACAAACCCAAACCCAGACCCGAGCGAGGGCCCACCGCTACCAGTTCGCTTGAACCGAGACGCTTCCTGAATAAAACAAAGTCTGATGTCTACATGTCGCATTCTCCGAAGGAACCCCTCCATCCCGGCAATCTGGCGAGCAGACGCGCTGTCGGTGTAGATGGCGAGGGGCTTGGCGATCTCGCCCCAGATGTGAAAAGCCAGCTGACCTAAACCGGCAATTTCCTTAGCGGCCTCGGCAATGGCAAAGAGTTCGGCTTCGACAGAGGATAAGGCAACTACGGTTTGTAGCCTACTGTAGCCCTTTACGCAATACCACAGGGAACCGGCCACTACGTAGATAACCCCACCGCTAGTACTCTTCTTCCCGGTGCTACTTTCACTGCCCCAGTTGCTGTCACAGAACGCCACCAAAGTGGCACCTTCTTCTTCCAAAGTCTCCCCGCTCCCGGCGGGAAAAACCTGATCGAGCAACGGACAACCGACCAACCACCGAAGAAATTTCCTTAGCGCATCCTCGTGCACCATCCTTGGTGCAGCTTGCCCTCTCGAAAGCATAGAATGGAAATATGTGATGTCAGTGCGCGTCTGGGTCAACCACCCAATCTTCCCAAGGCAGGACCTGAACCTACCCGCGGCTTCCGGAAACAAAGAGGGCGATGGGGATTCAGGATCCTCAGCATCGTACAGAGCCCTAATGTCAGGGGTTGTGGCCACAGGTTTGACCTTAGCCAGGTCCTTCTCGGTCCACCCAAAGGCAGAGAAGACTGAACGCACGTACTCAGGTTTCACCCCAAGGGTGATGTTGTTCCCATCTAGCTTGATAAGCCGTCCTAAAAACTCAAGCTGGCCATCTTCATGGAGCCTCCCAGTGACCTTTACCTTTAGAACCGCACTCAGGGACTTGTGGATAAACTCAACCCCCTCTTGGCTGTCGGAGACAATCAACAAATCATCCACATAAGCTAGGGCGATGATATACGTCCACTTCTTTCCCAGCTGAACCCATCCACTAAAGAGCGTGGGCTCGAGCGGCGAGGCTTTGAGACCCAGGCCGACCATAATCTTACCGAGGTGCCTTTGCCAACTTAGGCTCGCGCTGCGCAAGCCATACAAGGCCTTCTCTAGGATCAAGAACGCGGTGCCTCCGCCCTCTAGGCAGAAAGAGCTCGGAAGCTCCACCACAGTGGGTTGAACAACGTTCGCAAACAGGAACGCAGTAGAAATGTCCAAACCCCAAACCCGCATACGACCCTTCGCGGCTCTCGAGAGTATGAGCTTGAGTGCCTCCACACTCGCGGTGTTCGAAGAGAGGCCAAGATCAAGCGCAGAGGGTCTGCCGTGTGCGAAGTCTTTCGCCACGAGGCGTGCCCTGACAAGCCCTGGGGCTTTCTGCGTCAGCACCCACCGTGACTTTATCACGCGGCACCCTGGGTTCTCTTCCTGGTAGCGGTCAACCTCAGACCTGGAACGAAGGAGGCCGACTTGCAAAGAGTCGACGGCCTTGACCTCAGTCTTCATTCCTTCCCAGCTCTCTTTGTTGTCTAGCTGGATTCCATCGACGTCGTCGTAGGAACTTCGAGGCCTGGAGACCCAAACCCAGCGATCCCCAATGGGCATATATGTGCCCTCTTTCTCTTGATCTTGATCATTGCAAGCAGGCGGATCCGACCGACCAACCGACCGACCAACCGACATGCTCACGCCCGACCGACCAACCGACACGCTGTCGCCGCTCGACCGACCAACTGGCACGCTCAAGCCCGGCAACGTCATGCTCCACACGCTCATGCTCAAGCAACGCAATGCAAGAGTACGGCAACTTATCGCAAGAGGAGCGGCCGTCGACAAGCAACGAGCAAAACGCTTGCAAATCATACACATCACACGCGGTCAAGGGAGTGGGAACGTAGCGGACGCAGCCGCAGGCCCACATTTCCTCCAATAACCGAATCGCGGGGCGATCATCCTTCGGTGCCTCGGCGACACCCATCAGATCATCTTCTCCCTCGTCCTCGGAGGGCAACGAGGGCTCGTAGTCACTAAGATGGTCGTTGGCCTCCGCATTGATCTGTGGTACTTCTACTTCTTGCTCTGAGGGCGCCGAGGGCGCTGGAAACTCACGAACTTCCGAATCACCGAATCGAACCCGCTTGGCCGGTGGGCCTTGAGCGGGCGGAGGGTCCCGATCAAGCTCTTCAAGAGCGTTGTCCACAGCATCTCGGAGCCACCGCTGGTAGCGCCGGACGCACTTTATCGAATGGCGAGAGGACGTGGCCTCTTCGGAGCATCCGGGGCACTTTGGGGTGCCACCGTGCTCGCGGATCCATTCTTTGGAGGGTCCCCCTCCCGGCACATAGGGAAGGTGGAGCTCACGAAAGCGCTCCTCATCCAAAGGTGGCACAAAGCCTTCCAGAGGCCTGGCACCGTCAAGCAACGAAGCATCATATCGAAGAAGGTAGAGCAACTTCAGACCCGGCGCAACAATCAACTTGGTTTCTCCAGAATCTAGCCGGATACGCACCTGGTGCCCGGTAGAACCAAGCACAGGACCCAGGTACACCCCGCGGGCGTACTTGGAATCAATCTCCTCTTTGCTAGAACGGCTGACCTTTGCGAAAACGACAGCCCCGAAGGGATAGGTCAACTGGGGCTTGTGGTCGTGGCCAACTGGGGCTTGTGGTCGTGGCCCCGCAGCTTCTGCAATGGAGACATGGTGCTCCCAACCGACACTGCAAAGCGATTGTGCACATGTGCCGCGTATCTGAAAAGAAACTCTAAAGTACCCGGATCATCCCCGAGCACAACACCATTTTCACGAAGTTGTAATTCATGAGAAGACACAATTCCTTTCAAGGTCCGCACTGCTCGTTCAGCAACGGGAGCGTGGCGCTCCGGAGCAAAGCTTTCACTGTGTCCCTCATATCGTTCCGCTAGGGCCTGTGCGACGCTGATGGTCAGCGGTTCCGGATCTGAGTAGAAGGAGGGCTTAGGAACAGCGCTCTGGCCTAACCCAAAGTGGGCTAGCCACGGCTCGAGATGCCCGGCTGATTCGCGTCCACTCATCCCTTCTGGTCGGAACGTCACTCCAATCGCAAAAGCAAGCACATGCACTAGAATGATAAAGCACCTTGAGCGATACATGAACTGATCTACCTGATACTCCTTATCGGGTCTGTCACTTCGCATGCGGGCTGGCGTCAGCCCTCGGCTTCTGTTGCAAGCTTCACAGCTCGCCCAGTATGGGACGTGACCCTGAGAGACATGTGACAGGCGCTTGTGCAGCTCACGGCGTGTCTCCGGATCTTGTGACATGATCAGCTCTCCTTGCCCTGCTGCTAAACCCAAACCGGCCGGACCCTCTGGTTGCGTATTGGGCTCCTTGTTGTGATTCTTCTGGTTGAGGGGGTCCTCTTCCTGCATCGGGGCAACAACCGCAGCGGAACTGAAAACTGAACATGGCTGACCGCAGAGCTCGCATAAAGCGTGCACTCCAGAATGTTTCCACGCATGCCGGTGCGTTGGCAAAGCAAAAAGGCCATTGTTCATGGCGTCGGGCTTCGAAAGCTGTGAGAAAATTACAGGCTCGGAGTGCGAGAACGTCCCCTTGGCGGACGTGGCGGTGGGTTGATAACCCACATTCCCGGTGGAGGCCGTTGGGCTTGAGGTAGGCCGGCTCGTAATAGGAGCAGGAGGTGGAATCGGCAGTGCGGTGCGCGGACGCACTCGCCGAGATTCTGTGGCCATCTCCGCTGCAACCCTCCAGGAGTCTGCTTCTGCCTCCGTACAGATGCCGAGCCTCATTCTCGTGTAGAGACTCTCGCCGCTGGGCGAACTCAGCACTGCACCCGGAGGCGGGTAGCTGCGTGGCACCCACGAATATGTTGGTGGAGCCGACTCCGGTGGTGGCGGAGGTGCCGGAGGCGGCACACTCGGAGACGCAACGGGCGGTCCGTGTCCTCCTCCGCAGGTGCCACCAATGGCGCCTGCTTGGGCGGCGTCTTGGGCATCATAGACCCGATCCCCTTCGGATCCCCTCTGTGGTTGCTGATCCCCGCGTCCAGCCTGTGCTGGCTCGGCTTCCAAGTACCCCAGTCCTCCGAATCCGGCGAACTTGGAGGCGTCCACCCTGGGGGTGTCTTCACAGGCGACCCGAAGACGGCCTGAGCTGCCACTTCCTTGCTCAGTGGCTGTAGTGGCTGCGCTCCCTCCAGCTGTTGGGTCGACCGCAGCTGGACTCCCAGAGTGTCCGGCCAAGGCCGTCCCCTGGCTTTCACACGCCGCGGCTCCGGCTGTGATGGAAGCACACGCCGCTCCACTGCTCGTGGAGGCTGTGGTGGTTCCGCCCAGATTCCAGGAAGTGTATTGCTGGATGTCGCTGTGGCTTCCGAAGCACCCGCCTTCGCCGGTGGGTTGCTGAACCCGGGAAGACGGAGAACCAGCTCCCTCGCCTTCTTGATCTCGGGCTCGGTCAAGTCCGGCATACGAAGTTGGATCATCATCTCGACCCTCTCGGGGTCCGAAAGCCTGTCCGGTAGCAGCTTCAAACCGGGGCGGTTCCTCGCGACCCACGACTGCATGAGATGATTGTGGCTGGCCGACATCAAGTGAGCCTCCGTCGCGTGTTTTTCCCGCAAACCATGCAGTACTCGCAATAGTTGCGGTTGTTGTGGCTCAAGGCCTGAGGGCTCGACCATTTCGCCTCTGGGGCAACGTAGGGAGGGCTCCAACTGAAGCTGTTGACCCGGTCCGCGAGAGTCACTCCCGTCGCCTTTGGGGCAGGTGGCCCCTCTACCTCCTCGTCGGAGGATATCTCCATTGCCTCCACCCGGCCTGTCCAGCCCTTCTTCGCACTGGCCTTCATCAGCTAAACCCTTAAGGCTCAATGCTTGTGCCCTGGCGATCTGCGGAAATCCCCTGTTCACCCACATTGTCGCTCGAACTGCACACACCGTCATGCGCAACCGACCGACCAACCAACCGACCATGCATGCCAAGCACACGCTCTTCAGACTCACTGCACGCAGGTTGCACTACAGAAACTGGCTGCACCGAAGAGTTACTAAAACCTGGCTGCACCGACCGGCCTCGATCGGAAGACGTGGCCCCCGAGCACAAAGGTGAAGAAGATGAATCCACATGCTCCTGGCACAAACGGCGATCCTGACAAGGCTTTCCTACAGCACTCGACTGCAAAAGCTCTACCACTCTAGCAGGCAACTGACCTACCAACTGCACTCCAGAGCTGCCGCAAGACGACTGACCTACCAACTGCCCGACAGAGTCCTCGCAAGCATGCGGCAAAACACTCGGTTCAACATGCGTTGTTTCATGCTGTTGTCGTGAAAAATCATGCCCATGCTGTGAAAAATCATGCTCATCATGCGAAAACTCATGCTCATGCTGTTTCTCAGGCGAGGAAAACTCAAAAGACCGACCACTCGACAGACCGGAAGACGACGAGACACTCGCAAGCGTGAGCTTCGTGGAAGAATCAGCCATCACACTCTGAAGCCATGTGCAGTCGCCGAACACTGCTGGAAGCAGCGTCACCCCTACCTCCTTACGTTCCGCTGTTAAGCGACCGCGGTAAAGGGTAGGCTTCCAGCCTCTCCAACAGAGGAGGTTGAGGTTTATCAGGTTATGTTTGATTTCGCTGCTAGCTACCGCTTCTAGACGGCAGGTGCACGCAAAAGTGCTCAGAACTCCTCGTCGCTGCTCACAGTGTCGAGTGGTGAGAAAATTCACCTCGATCGTCGCGTGGGTGTCGCTTCCCACTTCCACCAGGTCGCCAGTGGCAGTCTGGCACACAGTCTTCGGTCGCTTCTTCCTCGACAAAACCTTGACGTGTCCACTCTCAAGCGTCGCCTGGGAAACCACATGGTACGAGCTCCCAGAGTCGAGAAGCCAATAGATCTTCTCTCCTGACTCAACGAAGGAAGGTGCGACCATGGGCATCGCAAAGTACGATCCCTCAAGGAACGTTCTGACGCCCTTCTCTGTTCCCTTCCCAACGTCGCCCTTCGTAGTGGGCTGGTTGCTCGGCGCCTTTGGCGCTGCCTTGGCAGCTGCAGCGCTCCCCGAACTCTCAGCACCGCCTGTCGTCACAGTGGCGTTGGCCTCGTAAGGGGAAACCGCAGCGGCTTGCTTCAGCCAACAGTCGCGGGCCCAATGTCCCTTCTTCCCGCAGTGGTGGCAAACGTCGGTCTTCTTGGCCTTGCTCTTGGCACGTGCAGCTGAATGTTAAAGAACGGGCTTCACTAAGCTTCCTACTCTCAAACTGAAGCGGTCACTTTTCCTTGTGGGTCACTGTGTCCGCTGGTCTCGAGCCTTGCACGTCGCGTGTGCGTGACGGCTGTTCCTGTACATTAACTGCACTGCACTAACTGTGTTACTGTTCCTGGCAAGATGTTTAACACCCCGCCTTCGGAGTTAGCGAAAGTTCCTCGACTGAGGTGACTCCGACTTTTCCTGTCAACAGTAAACACACTGCAGTTCCTTTTCACTTGCAAAACAAACACTCTGCCTCATCGCAAACATATGTTCCTATGTTCACTCGCAATCCTCTCCAAGGTTGCTCGACTGTACAAAAGACGTTCCTTTACTATACTTAGATCACCACAGAAACAAAAAGGGCTGTGCCACGGTTCCTGTGTCCTGCTGCTTCTTTCCTCGGCTCTCTGGCCTCAGTACTGCTCGCTGTTCCTTTGCTTCACTGGAAGGTCACTTCGCCGTCGTCGACCTTGTAGACTTTTACTCCTTCTTCTTCGTTGCTGACTTCTTTCTGTTCCTTGAGTTCTTGCTCTAGCCACTCTGCACGCTGCCTTGCTTGTGCCATGCACTTCTCTTTTCCTTGCTTGTCTCTTGATCCTGCTTTCCAACCTGTTTCCTTTGATCCGGAATACCAGTACCACTGCGTCTTGGCTTCGTTCCACTTCCACTGGTAGTTCCTGTTCTGGAAACCGTAGACTGCAAACCAGTTTCCTTCAAACTCTCCTTTTCCTTTGCCCTTCATGAACGATTCTTCGTTCACTGGTCCTTTGGCGGAAAGTTCTGGGTCGTCCTTTCCTCCTTTCCTTTGCTGCTGCTGTGTGACACTCGGTGGCTCCTTTCCTGTTCCTTTTCCTTCTGGCTTCTCCTCTTCCTTTGCTGGTGTTGCTGGTGCTGTGTCTGGTTCCGTGGGTGCCTGCGACCCGGCTGCTGATCCTCTGCTCTCAAGCTCCTGTGTAAGGCTTGCAATTCTTTCTTTATCCTCTTTGCGTTCCTTCATCATCTCCTTCATCATTTCTTCAAGCTTCTGGATCCTGTCTGCTTCTCCTGATCCTGTTGCTGTTGATGCTGCTGCCTTCTTCTCTGCTTCCTTCTTGGCAATGTACGCTGACGATGCCTTTTGATCTTCCTCTCTCTTCTTCCTGGCTTCCTTCTCCTTTCTTTTCTTCTCCTGTTCCTTTCTTTCCTTTTCCTCTTTGGCTGCTGCGGCTGCTGCTTTCTCCTCTTCTTCCTTTGCTGCCGCTGCTTCGGTCTCCTCCTTTTCCTTTGCTTCTCTCTTTGCTTTTGCTTTGGCTGCTGCTTCTACCTCTCGCCTTCTCTCGGCGGCTGCGGCTGCTTCCTGTCTTGCTGCTTCCTTGTCTCTCTTCTCCTGCTCTTCTGCTGCCTCTTCCAAAATCCTTCTTGCTTTGGCAATCTGCTCCTCCTTTGCCTTCTTCTCCTCTTCTGCTTTGGCTTTTGCTTCCTTCTGCTCCTTTGAGATCTTGTCCTGTTCATCCCAATATTTGCGATCATCTTCATCTCGAGGTCGAAATCCTGTGCTTTCTGCTCTTGCCTTTGGCTTTCCTTTTCCTTTTCCTTCCTTCTTTCCTTTTGTTCCCTTCTCGTGCTTGTACGTGTAGTCCTTGTCGATGTGGATCTTTTCTCCTGTGACTCTGTGCTGCTTGTAGATCTCGCCGTTCTCGGAGTATTCCTTCCATTCGCTGCTGTAGTCGTAGGGGTACGGAAACTGCTTCTTTTCCTCTTCTTTCTCCTTTAGCCTTTGCTTGCTTTTGGCGTTGATCTCCGCGATCTTCTTCTTCCTTCTTTCTTCCTTTGCTTCCTCGCTTTCTTCTTCCTCTGCTGCTGCTGTTCCTTCTTCTGCTTTGGCTTCTTCGGGGTACTCCCCGGGATCTTCTCCTCCAACGTAGCTGTCCACGTAGGCCTCGTTCTCGTTCTCGCCGAAGTAGTCCTGGCTTTCTTCCTGTTCTTGGAGTCCTTCGAAGTAGCTCCTGTCTGACCAGTTCCTTATATCGTCTTCTCCTTTGTGTTCCTGGGAGGTAGGTGACGTAGCTCTCGAAGGTGCTGTTCCTTGTCCGTGTCCTTCACGACGTAGTTCACCTTCTAGTTCTCGGTCCTTGGCTTCTCTTTTCCTTTGTTCCTCTTCGTCGTCTTCTTCTTCTTGTTCCTCTTGCTGTTGTTCGTAGAAGTCCTGCATCATCTGGTTCAGCTGTTCCTTCACGGAATCACATGTACCTAGGACGAAGTTCATGTGTTCCTTGACCTGCTTCCGGTCTCTTTCGTTCTCTTCGGCCATTTCCTGAACCTGGTGCTTCACGCTGTAGATTTGGGATGTCAAACTTTCCACACATCCTGCAACGTGTTCCTGACTTTTGCGCAAACGCGCAGCTTCCTCTGTGTTCTTCCTGATCGACTCCGCGATCAAGTTCCTTTCTTCTGTAGCGGTCTTCAACGTGATTGCCGCTTCTTTCAAGGTCTGA